TGGCAATACCATACCATGCCATCCTTACTTCTGTGCTGCTGCTGGCGGCAGCTCTGCCTTCACAGCTGGACTCCCAGCTCGCAGCCGCCGCTCTCCAGTTGCCCAGCCATCAGGGCTGATTCCCTACTCTGGCACTTCGAGTGCAGAAGGTGGGGGCCTGCAAGGATTTAAAAAAAATACTACTTGCCACTCCAGGCTTGTATTGAACCTTCAAGATTACAGTTTTCCTTGGACCTTGGCTTGGTAAACACTGCCACCACCTAAGTGAAAAACTGCCTCTTGCAAATCCTGGAAAAACTCACTTGGAAAGTTTTCCCTTAGGCCCCTCGGCATTTCCACCCCTCCCTCAGGGAAGCTGAGAAAGAAAACAAACAAAAGGGAAACCCAGCTGTTGCCACGAGCTAACTGAAAAACATATGCACAGACCTTTTAAGACACAAAACCAATCAGGTTCTTAAAAAAAAGAGAAAAAAAAACACATTTGGAACTTAAGCTTTAGCTAGATTTTAAAAGAGCAATTCCAAAAATTAAGCACTCAAAATAGCCTTCTTGGGGGTTCAGCTTAAAGGTTACAACCAAACAAAAGCATCTGGGGTTAGCACAGAGGAGTCCACAAGCCTTACAGAAAATAAAAGAAATAAACCTAATCACATCTATCTAAACATTCCCTGTCCCAATGAATCCTTCTAGGTATGGATTATGAATTTTCATACCTGGTCCAAACTTTACACAGCATTCCAGCTGCCCCTGTCTCTTCAGCCCAGAGAGAACAACAGAGACAAAGGGAAAGCTTTTTTCCCCCCATTTTAAAAAGTTCTAGCCTTCCCATTTGCTCTTTTGGTCAGGTGCCCACTCCCTTTTCTTTACCTGGGGGACTTTTTAACCCTTTACAGTAAAGCAAGCAGGCACCAAGAGGGACTTTATAGTTAACTGGCTGGGTTTCCATAAAAGGGAGCTACCCCCACTTCATAGCTCAGTGGGGGGAGGGATAGCTCAGTGGTTTGAGCATTGGCCTGCTAAACCCAGGGTTGTGAGTTCAATCCTTGAGAGGGCCATTTAGGGATCTGGGGCAAAATCAGTACTTGGTCCTGCTAGTGAAGGCAGGGGGCTGGACTCGATGACCTTTCAAGGTCCCTTCCAGTTCTAGGAGATAGGATATCTCCATATATTATATTATTATTATTATTATTAATCACACGCCCCCCAAATCACAGATGGTGCTGGCCAGCCTGGTTTGGGTCAGGTCCACACCGGCTGGGATTTCTTCCATGAGGTTTAGGAAACAGAGTTAATAAGATACATGCACCTCTATTTTTACTACTAATTACATCAGGGGTCGGCAACGTTCGGCACGCGGCTCGCCAGGGTAAGCACCCTAGCAGGCCGGGCCAGTTTATTTACCTGCTGACGCGGCAGGTTCGGCCGATCATGGCCCCCACTTGCCGCGATTTGCCATCCCAGTCCAATGGGGGCGGCGGGAAGCAGCGCGGGCCGAGGGATGTGCTGGCCACGAGCTTCCCGCCGCCCCCATTGGCCCGGGACGGTGACCGCGGCCAGTGGGG